CTCATTCTCTGTCTCTCTAACACAAAGCTTTGATCAAGGAGAGAAGTTTGAGCACCCTTATTGTCCAAGAACACACAAATTTTTGTACACTGATTTCCTTCAAAAGCCACATCAAAGGTCTGAAGGATCTCAATTAATTTTTGTCCTTTTAGTTTTAGAGAACAAATTAAGTTTCATTGATATATCTTGCATTTGGGGTTATTGAGATCTCAATTCATTGTTTGTCGTTGGTAATGGTTTTTTTTTTTAAAACAAAAAGAATTTAAGTCCAATTTCGTTTTGGTTGTCCGTACATTCATTTAGAGTATCCTAATCTATGTTTGTTTTGAATAAATGTACACCTAATAACAAGTGCAAGTTTTAAAATTATGATTGTTCTATGTAGATCATGTTGCTGATTTTCATTTTTTCTTTTAATTGTTACCTATGGGCTGCAAATGAAGTTGGAAATGGAATGTTGGGATTGTACTGTAGACTGTAGACTAAGTGTTGAGAAGCATACTCTCTCTCTCTCTCTCTCTCTCTACCTGTGGCCAAAGATCTTCTCCATATTGTTTTGTAGAAATATGTGAATATTAATTTTGCAATAATATCCGAAAAAAGGCTTTTCCTAATTTTTGGATTTGAAAACTCTAAAATTAAGAATTTTGAATAATTTTAAAATAAATCACAAGCTCCTATTTATTATGGAACTGAAAGAAAAGTGATTAATTGCTTCCCATGTAGTTCGCGGCAAATTTTAGTTATTCATTCCCAGTATGTAGAAAACACTGGCACTCGAACTTGATCTTTCAGTGTTATGTTATTGGTAAACTTAACGGGTTTTTTAACTATTAAATTTCCCTACGTATAGCGGGATTCACGATTAACTGATGTATAGATATTTGAATTTTCAAGTGAAACTGAATAATGAAATTTGAATTATTTTTAAGTCTTTGTGAATATCGACTTAGAAAACTATTTTTCAATTTCAAATAAAGAGGATATTGATAAAAAATTGATGTTGTAGTCATATTAAAAACTTAGTGAATATTGTAATTACGTAAGTTGGTTGCATTAATTTGGAGTTAATTATATTTAAAATAATTAAAAATTAGATTAAGGTTTCTTCAATTTTGGATAAAAAAAGAGATAATTATAGCTGTCAAAAGAAGGGGTGCTTAGACGGTTATATTTTACCCTTTAGAAGGG